CACCCGAGCACCCTCAGGAGAACGGCCGGGCCGCGGCGGGGCCTGCCGGGCGGTGCCGGTGCCTTGCGTGGGCCGCCTTAGGCCCCCGGGAGAGTCTGAAGCAGGAGCTTCTGTTGTCGCTTCATGTTCTGTGTCTGTCAGGAGTTTTCAGCTCTAAAGGGTTTCTGTCACTTGTCTGCTGAGCAAAAGTGGAGGGAGGGAAAGTCAGATTGCGTTGTAGGTCTCACGGGACGCAAGATGGAGCAGAAAACGTGGAACCCGCTTACTTTGTTGGGTTTAAATATGAAGTTGATAGTAAACTTCTTGTGGCCTCGCCTACACGGCGTGGCGGCGGATTTGTTTACATCGGTAGGGCAGTGACTCCCTCTGGTTTTCACGTGAACAAGGGCTTTTCCGCGTGTGGTCAGAGTCTTGCTGGGTGTAAACCGGACTTACCTTTGATTTGTAAGTCACTCTTACAACGTCCTTGTAACATACAAGATTACAAGGCTTGCCTTGGTCCAGCCAGCACGCTGGTACTGAGTGTTTCTGCTGATTTGAAGCTGTTGGAACATTCCTTAAATATCTTTCAGCAGATGTAGAAGGAGCTGTGTAACCATGTTGTTGATTAAATGAGGCAGTTTGCTTGTTCTTAACCTTACTAACAATTTCAGCCCTCCTTGTTTCTGAAATTAACAACTGACTTTATGGTTGGTGGTGAAGAGCACAGTGCCGGCTGGGGGCTCGCGAGAGAGAGCCAATAGCGACTGTCCAGAAGTTCTGCCTAGAACTGTTAATTGTCAAGTGAATCAGCTGTTAACACATCTATGTTTTAGGTTGAGAGCCTTGAAAGCTAAATGGGAGAGGGTTGTGAAGAGGGTCAGTGCCTGGATGTGCCGCAACCTTCCACCTACTTTTTCCCCCCGCCCCCTTTTATTTTTTTTCCTGAACATTTTTAAACAGGTATGTTTGGAAGAGAGACCGTTCCTGCTCTGTTATGTCTATGAAGTCCAATATCATCTGTTGATACTTTCTTTGTAGCTCCATGGTAAAACATCTGAGAGTTATCGGTGTGCTTACCACATCATTTGAATCCAGAGGTCACTTTTAAGAAAATGTGGGCAGCTCGAAGTGCTTGTAGTGCTCAAATACTGTTGCTTGGGATGTTTCAAAAAACTCGGCAGTTCGGGATTGGCATTTTAAACTGTTGCACCGCAAGAGCACCACACAACAGAGCTGAATTCCAGGTAAGTTTTATTTGTGGTGCTCTAGGTATAATTGATAGGCATCAATACAGTGACAATATCATTTCTTCCTAATAACTGACAGGCTTATTAGAGTGACAGCCATTTAGTGAAGAATAGGACCAGAGTTCTTTGGCAAATGTTTTATTCGTGCAATATGGAACAAAAAAGGCAAAAAAGTTTGTATTGATTTGTCAAGGGAGGATAAAAACATCAGTTTGATTATAAAAAAAAAGTAGGTATAAATAAAAATAGTGGGAAAAAAAAAAACAAAATTAAGACTAATCTCAGACAATGACAGTTCCAAATGACAGTGCTTTTCTGGATGTCTGATTAAGTTAATCTTTAAAATATTAATTGCTGTATGCACTTTACAAGTACTAGAACATTTTTATTTCAGTTAGCTTAGTGGGGGCTGAGAGATTGAGACATTAATCTAGGTGGATTTACAACTGTTACAGTTGACTTCATTAATCTGTTTAAGAATAAATAATGTTAATCTTACATCTGTTTCTTTTTAAATAGTAATATTTGTATGATTGTAGTTTTCCAGGGTAAATGATAAAGGAACAGTAGTAGATACAAGGATGGCTACTAGTGCAGAGGAAACTAAACTAGCTGCTGGAAAAAGTTCGAGGCCAGTATGTGATGGAAGCCAGCATTCTTTAGAAGGTATTGAACCTTTTACCCCTCTATTCTTAAGAAGTCAGCCTTTCCTGTCCTATCTAAATGTCTTGTATTAATGATCAAGATGGTCTGAACTCTTAATTTGAAAGTTTTGTATCACATGTTGTGTTTAATTTCATGGCAATTATGCAACATTTTTGTAGTTTGCAGAGACTCTTACAGGTTTCCAAAGTGACTTAACGGCTGACTGGATTGTGTACTGATTTTTTTGTTATTTTTATTTTCATTTATTTCATCAAGCTCTTACAATGTTTATTCCATGTTACTGGATAGACACAGAGCTTAATTTTCCTGTTCTCTTCCTAGCAACTGGAGTGACTCTTGAGTACAGTCTCTTGAATGGGTTATTGATTTATGTGAGTCTGGTTTTGACAGGGAGAATCAATTTCTTGAATATTCACTCAAGGCTGTGAATGGTCTGTAAGGATAGTGAACACTTTGGGTTTTCTGTTATAAATATAAAAACCAAACATTCCTGAGCGAGTGGTGATTTCTGATTCAGGTAAATTAGTATATACAATTATGACCTTTAATTTAGCAATGCTACCTGGATAAACAATTCTTCTCATAACTTTGTTTTGTCATTCCTATCTAATAAGTAATCCTCAGATGTGCTGTTATGCATCATACATTCTAGCTTCTGTGCTTCAGGGTGCTTGGTCATTCACATTCTGTATATGTATATGTATAAAACTTTTTGTAGTCAGTTGCTTGGGCATTTTCAGCTTCTGTTTACAAATGGGATTACAGGGAGGTAGTTATGACTGGTTAAGAGCCTGGGCTCGTATGCTTTATATAATTCCCCAGGAAACAGCAGTATGAGGAAACTGCTGTGCTGTTTCTTGAGCATGACAACTTAAAAAGCTATATTGTACTGTAACAATTCTGCTGTACAGGTTTGTCGCCTTACATACATCCTCCTGTAGGTTTGCATTACAAATGGATGAGATATTGCTGAGTAAACAGATGCCCCACTGCCTCCCCTCCATATAGTTTTAAACATCAGTGAGTTTTTGTTTTTCCACATATGTGAGAATATTTCAAATAGACCTCTTAGGTTTATGTATATTCCAGAATGCTTCTCTGTTATCTGTAACATAATGGGATTGAACAGCCCCAGTGTCCTTGTAGTTTTTTCCTGTACTTACCTTCTCTTATGCTTCTGCTTGTTGTTTTATAGACAATAGAAGCACACCTATCCCTTTAACCAGTTAAAATATTTGTATTTTGAAATTTGCCAGTTGTGTAACATGTAACCTTTCTGAAGAGCAGGGGCTATGTCCAAAAAGAGCATTTGCTATGTCCTATTTACATCACACCTCTATAATGTGTGCACTGTCCAGTTGACGTGGATTTGTGTCTTTTATGGTTCATTTAAGCTTTTTCTTAATATATGCCAATATGATAACTTTGAGTTTATAGATATTATCTTTAAGGGTCAAAACTTACATTAAACCATATAAGAATATTTGTTCTGAAGTCTTGTTAGGACAGGTGTTTCATAGCATTTCTAAGCAAGATTTTGGCTGTTTGCTCAGGCAACTGAAAAAATGGTCTATGACCAGAGGTGACTATTCTCCTATTTCTGGTACTCTGTAAGAAACTGACAGGGAATAGTCATATTGCAGACTTAATTTTTTTTCTATAAGTCCTCTTGGGAGTTATTATAACCTTACTGTTCTTTTTGATCAAAAGAGTAGTGATTTACCAGATCATCAAAGCAAAAGACATTTTTTAATAAGGTTGTCTCTGAAATACACCATTCTAACTTGCAAATAAACTGTTGCCATGACATACTTGCAAGAATAAAAAGAAATGAGAGAGCTTATATTATAAAAGTGAGTATCTTGGGTTCCTGTATTTTGTTTTTCTGTTTGTGTGGGACTTCAGTGAATCCTTTTTTTTTTCTCCTTACTCGGATCCCTTTGCAAGGTGAAAAAAATGTTGCTTAACTGCATCTGTCAAGCAGAGAGTTCCTTACAGGGCCATGATTCTTTCATCTAGATACATTTTGTAGGTTACGTGCTTTGTTACAGATTTAAGAGGCTTTCAATTCAATATACAGAACCTCCCCACAGGTAGATGCATCTGAACAAATGAAAGAAGACCTGAATGTTTCAATGAGCAACAGGTGCTATCTATGTCTCTAGGAGCTAAACATGATGTGATTTTTCCATTAACAACTGGATAAAGCCATGAGCAACCCTGTTTGATATATTTCCAGCAGGGAGGTACCTTTTAGAAGGTTTTGTAGAAGAGCCTTGTAGTATGCTTAGAAGATGTATGTATGCATGTACATAAGCATCAATATTTTTTTTAATTATTTAAATAGGCTTATTACCTTACACTTGAGTTTCTTAGATATGTCTCATAGGTAGGTCCCTTAGGGGTAATTGTTGGGATTTGTGAACTCTTACTTTGCATGTTTATTTTCTGACCAATCAGCTATATAAATGTGGTACTTAATTTCTTGAGCCTGAAATCTGTTTTGGAAAAAAATGCAAGTTAATTCTTCCATGCTTGTTTTTCTTCCTACTTACTAATGTAGTTGCTTTAACCAGCTTCACCATTTTGCCAGAGTTGCCTGTGATGCACAAGCACCTTTCTTCCTTATTTGCAGAATGTGTGGAAACATCTGCATAAGTGGGTTAAGCTACTGAAAAGTTTTAACTAGGCTGAAAGGAAGCACATTATGCACCATATTTCAAAGTCTATTTTAGGTTTTTTCCACACTCCCAAAAAAATATTTGACATAGAATTGTGTGTGGTGTTTTCCAATAAAATTTCAAGTTAACTTTTTTCATTTTCTTGCAGTGCAATGATTTCTCTTTACATAAGAAGATACTTTCTTTTTAAAAGTAGTAACATGATTTATCATTTGCTTCATTGTAAATGCCTTTCTCTCTCATGGTCACAGCAAGAGCCAACCTAGAATCCTTTCTAGCAGTACAAATATGTTAGATATAAGTAACTGGTATTTGTATTTACAAGTGTATATGCAAGCGTTTCCAGTATAAAGGGAACATTTATCCAGTTGATAAACTACCTTATTATAGTGCAGTGTTTTAGCAGAATGACTGATGCACCAAACAGTATGTCCTGGCACAATGAGATGCATACTCTCTCTCTCTTTTTTTTTTTTTTTTTTTTCTTGTTTCAGGAAACCTAGGTAGATCCAGTCATGGTCTGATTTTAATCATGTTCTGTGTAAAGCAGTTGAGTTTAGTATGTCTTCTTATCTAGTGGTCTTGAAAGCTCTTTCTTGTCCTCATCTTTCCTGCTCTTCCCATTTCTGAGCTGAAGAGACAAGCCAAAATCTATGACTGTACATGTTTGCCTCTCTTCATCAGAACTGTCACCAGTGTCTGGTAGATGATTTTCAAAAGAAACTTCTCATCAGCTATCTCATTATAAACACAAACAATCAAGTGTAATCTTGAGTATACTGATTTTTATTTTTAGTCCCATTCCTAGTGATGCATACCAAATATAGTAGGGGTTTATTTTCAATTCAATACTAAGGTAATCTACATTATCTTTTAAATATGTACAATACAGTCTGTGAAATAGCTTGCTTGTAATTGTAGTTATTTGAAGAAACAGAAGACCTAATAAAATTCACAGCCTTTTTTTTTTTTTTTTTTTTAATAAACCACCTCTGAGGATCTAAATTTATGGTTGCTTTTTGTGGTTTTTGTTAGATTTAAATGCTATCCTTGATACCTTCAGAGTACATGCATTTTTAATACATTTTTAATTAATGTTAATTAATACATTTTTAATGCATGCTTGTATTTTACTTTGGTGGGTTTTTTTAATCCTTATTTTATTAGTAGCAATAATATGTTGTGTTCTTTTCTAAATAAGAAATTACATTAAATGAGAATTTGCCTGTTAATGATTAATACTAGCAAGAAAATGAGCTCCAAAGGAGAAGGAAAATATTTCTTTCTTAGATGATTAGACTGGGTTCAAGGTTGTATGTGGATAAGAGGAGTATGATGACACAGTAGCCAGCAGTTTTATAACTAATTAGATTTTTACTCTAGGTGGATAACAGCATGCTTTTATCACTTTTGAATAGCTACTTTTATTTTGTATTTCTTTGACAAATTATGTAAAAATGTGCAGTTAAGTTGTGTGTATGCGTGTATATACACACATGTATTACTTGATTAAAAAAAGGGATTTGTGCAAAGGAATATTTTAGAGTTGTTTTCAATTTTGGGAATGCTAAATTAACTGCTACTTGTTTAATGTGTTTGTTTTTACTGCTCTTAAATAAACTGCTGATATAGGGTATTATGTGTTCTGTGCCAAAAATAACAGATGTATGTTATAAGATAAAATTAACTGATCCTTTTTCTGATTGTGAAACTTTTTTTCCACAGCAAAAATGAAACACATAAATCTGTCATTTGCAGCATGTGGGTTTCTGGGTATTTACCACTTGGGGGCAGCAGCTGCTTTTTGCAGGCATGGTAAGAAGTTACTGAAAGTTGTGAAAGCTTTTGCGGGAGCTTCTGCGGGATCGCTGGCTGCTGCTGTCTTATTAGCAGTACCAGAAAATATAGAGGTAAATTTATAAACTTTCAGGTACAGGACATGATCGTTGAGAAGAATATATTTTATATAATCCTCTGTCATTAACTTTTAAAAAATATTTTGGTTCTTGTATTTCTTCTTGCTTCTTGTAAAGCATCAGGACTGCTGTACGTGTTTTCATTAAGAAAGTCTGTGACTCGTGAGCAGAAATGTTTGTGACAGAAGTCAGTCAGACGACCTTCATGTTTTAAGCTATATAAATATAATGTGTGTGAATCTACTTTATATACCAAAATGTATATGCACTTAATCCCTGTACATGACAAAGTTAATAATTGTTTTCTTGGCTAGAGATAGGCTTTGCTAAGCAAATGCGTAGCATCATACTTTTGTCCTTTTATCTTTTTTGCAAAAGAAGGAAAAAAGTGATATATTTTATATAATCCTCTGTCATTAACTTTTAAAAAATATTTTGGTTCTTGTATTTCTTCTTGCTTCTTGTAAAGCATCAGGACTGCTGTACGTGTTTTCATTAAGAAAGTCTGTGACTCGTGAGCAGAAATGTTTGTGACAGAAGTCAGTCAGACGACCTTCATGTTTTAAGCTATATAAATATAATGTGTGTGAATCTACTTTATATACCAAAATGTATATGCACTTAATCCCTGTACATGACAAAGTTAATAATTGTTTTCTTGGCTAGAGATAGGCTTTGCTAAGCAAATGCGTTTCTTAGACCTTTTGTCCTTTTATCTTTTTTGCAAAAGAAGATGAAAATGGTAGTTGAATTGTATCTCCATAAAGTGGAAGAACACTACACGCCAGCTCAGATTCTTTCCTTGCTGTCTGTGCTCCTTTTGCACAAGAAGTGGCTTTTGCCCCTTCTTTAGACTCAGTACAGTTCATGATGTAACAGCAGTAGCTCCACTCTGTACAAGGAGGATTAACCCTCATAACATTCAGTTCTGACATGCTGCATACATGTGTGTTTGGATTTTTTTTCTCCAGAGATGCCACCTGTTTCTTAACAAAGATATAGTGTCATATTGAGATAGCAAAGTGATGCTCAAATGACTACCCTATCACAGGTTTTTGTAGGAGAGCTTTAGTGTTTCTTTTTTTTCCTCTTAGGTTAAGGCTGCTTTGCCCTCCTGAAGTGCCTTTAGTAACTTTCCCGTAATATATATGATGCATTAGGCCTTGCTAAAATATTAATATTTCTTTAATATTGAGTTATAACAAACAGCATCACTGGGGGAGGGGGAAGGCTGTTAAATTTTATTCTAAGTACACTTCGGGGTTCAGTTCTCTAATCATCAGGTATCTTCCTCTGGGCTTTTTGCCTGTTAAAACTCACTGCATTTGATTCAAAGGAGAGTCCCAGCCCATACATGAGACTTTGCCACTGATCCTTCTGTTTATTTGTTGTTTATTTCTGCAGTGGTATGAACTTAGCTTGCAGTTAGCTATACTCCTGTTGTTTTCAGCAGTAAGTTCTTCCTTGGTCTCTTTCTACCCCACTACCCCTCAGGTGCATTCTTTATGAGATTTGGTTTTAGGCAAGTTCCACTCTGTTGTGGAGTTCTCTGTGAAGAGAACCTTACTTGTATTCTGCTTGGAATGTTATTCTGTTATTCTTTATCCATAGCCTCTGACTGGTAGGTTGTTTTCAAGTGTATCTGGTATAATGCATACCTCAGACTTTTATGTATGGTGAGCACAGCAGCTAGCCTTTTCTTAGCCCAAGGAAATTTTTCAGTTATTCTAAGCTTTGGGTAAGAGCATTTGTTCTCAGCTTGGTCTAAAAATCTCTTCTAATATTTTTACTTAGAAAGATCTTTTTATTTTTTATGCTTTTGGAAACTAAGCCTGTATAAATTCTCATATAATTTAATTAAAGGCAGTGTTTTGTATTGTATAGAATTAAGAGTTTTACTATCAGGGTAATTATATTATTACCTAACTTGAAATATTTTGTATCCACTCATGTAACTCTTAAATCAGGTAATTTTTATTTTTTCCTCTCTCCTCAGAGATGGCTGTGTTAGGCAAACTTTAATTAAGACTTCCTCATAATGTAAAAGTTCTAATACGACTTTGCCTTATCTTGTAGAGAATAAAAGTGAGGATTTCTTGTTTTGACTTTTGCTGTTCTAATATGACAGTTTGCAAATATTTTTCAGTTGTATCTTGGATTTTTGTCACTAGTGAAAAGACATGGAACTTGAGAATTCTAGAGGGAAGCTTATAGAGTTTTAGATAAGTATCTGTTTATTTCAAAAGTACCTCAATTATCTTTGTAAAGTTTAATTAAGACAAGTAGTTACAAATTCTAAACATGTCCTCAGTCACTATTTGCTACATTGTTTAAAGCTTCTAACACTTCTTATCAACTTCATTGCTGTAAGAATTGTCCCTTTTGGCAGCAAGAATTATATGGTCTATTCTTAGCACTTGTAATATGGAAAGTAGTTTTCTGTCATTCACCCAGGTTTGCAATCATCCAGCTCCCTGTTGCTCTTAGTTCCCTGTCACTGTATTAAAGCATTTTAGATATAAAGATAGTATTTCAGAGGTGCTTTGGTGTAGGGCTTGTGTTTCTTCTCTCTTTGGAGAGAAAGGTGTCATGCCTCTTTTCAGCTGATTTACTACAGAAGAAGCCTAAGTCCCTAATGTAGAATAAATTCAAGACTTGATGCATATTATTAGGTTTATATATTTGATTTGGCTTGGAAGTGGCAGTGGCAAGGACCTTATAGCTCTTCCTTGATTAAAACTTTAGCTGTTAGTATGTTTTAGATACCACCGTTGAACATACTTCCCATAACTAAAACATCTTCAATTCTGTTTTTTTTTAATTTGCAGAAATGTAAGCAGTTTGCCTATGGATTTGCAGAGGAAGTTAGAAAATTGGACTTTGGTGCTGTAACGCCTGGTTATGATTTTATGAAAACACTTAGGTACCTATCTTAATGCATCTATAAGATCACTTTTGTTCTAAGCTCTCTAAATGAAAATAAAGAATGTGTATATTTCTTCTGTACTGTGGCACACTCCGTGCTCTTTCACTCCTAAGTTATTTGCAAGGTTTTAAAATATTGATGGTGAATAAAGTTTAGCATTTTCTTTACTCTAGGGACGGCATAGACTCTATTCTTCCTTCTGATGCTCATGAGATAGCTGAGAACCGTCTCTATGTGTCAGTCACTAACAGCAAAAATGGGGAAAATCACTTGGTTTCAAGTTTTGCCTCCAGGGAGGAGCTCATTAAGGTAATGAAGTTGAATATTGCTGCTTTATATAAAAATATTTGAGTTTCTTTAAGGCTTAGGAGTTATGTTATTAGCTATACAATAAATCATAGTTGTACTCAGTCACACTATTTGTGATGCTACAACCATAACATAAGCAATGGAAGCAGAATTTCATCCTCTTTCACAAATCTTGCTAAAATTTACTTTGTGTGTTTGTTTCCTTAATCTATTTTAAAAGTACTACCTTGTAGGCAAAGTTTAAAGACTAACAAAGTAACTAATGGTTACAGTAGATGAGAATACAATTTCCAAATGTTGTAATAATCAGTGAGTCTTTTTGCATCTCTATAAATGATACATGCATAGCTGAAGATGTGCACAAAAACACATACTACAAGATGCCCTGAAAGAACAGACAATATGAATGTATTCCAATTGATAACATTGATATTCCAATTGAACTGATAACATTTATATTATACATCATCACAAAAGAAAGTAAAGGAAGTTCCTGTCTTTTAAAAAAGTTTCTTTTCTAGTTCTAGTGAGTAACTGTGTATAAACTGTATTTTAACTGTCACTGAAAGATATATTTTACTGCCCTTCTTTTAAATGCCACTTTTTAACTTTGGATGAGGATTGCATACATAAGCTGATATGAAATGATAGGAATAATTCCAGGTGCACATAAAGTAAATGTTAATGGCTTAAAACTTGAAGATTTGGATTAGACATTAGGGGGAAATTCTTCTCCATGGGGGTAGTAAGACATTGGAACAGGTTGCCCAGGGAAGTTGTGGAAACCCCATTACAGAATTATAGAATGGTAGGGGTTGGAAGGGACCTCTGGAGATAATCTCCCTGGAAGTATTCAAGGGCAAACTGAATGGGGCTCTGAGCCACCTGATCCTAGTGGGAGGTGTCTCTGCCTGTGCAGGGGGGTTGGAACTAGGTGGTCTTCCCACCCAAGCCATTCTATGATTCTATTAATTGTTCTTTTGAGTAATTGTTTATACCTTAGTGGAGGACATAATAAGAGACAGCAGAATAAAGGAGGAAATAAAGTAAGAAGAAATTCCCTCTTCTTAGGAATGCATTCCTATAATTGTGGATACTTAAATAAGAGCTTTGCTGTAATTAACACTTAAATAAATTTAAAAAATCACAGTTATTAACAAAATCTGCAAGTATTCATTGGAAGCTTGAAGTATTTTTTAAAAAATCTTGACCATACTATATTCTCTGAAGTGAATCTGTTCTCAAAATTTAATGCAAAGATAATTATGCAAAAAGTTAATCTCAAATTATGCATTGTTATTTCTAGCTATGGTAGCCAGTGGTGACATACATGGAGATTATTATTCTATAGGTTTATGGGTTTTTTGCAGTGAAATCTTCTAACATGAAAACAATTAGGAGCTGAAGATGACCTTGGAGATATATATAAAATTTCTGTTTTGTCGATAGTTCTTTCATTGACTGAACCGTTTCTTTTCTACTCATTTGCTCCATATGCTAGCAGTGGAATAATAGTAATAGAAAGCAACAGAAAGCAGTAGAAATAATAGTAATAAAATTGGAATACATTCATATTGTCTGTTCTTTCAGGGCATCTTGTAGTATGTGTTTTTGTGCACATCTTCAGCTATTCATGTATCATTTATAGAACAGTCTAAATGTTGGTGGCTGCCTTGGTAGCACAGATAAGGTTATATAATTGCATTACACCTCTCCCAGACATGATTAACTATGTAAGACATGGATAAAGGTGCTGCTGGACAGATGGTGGTTTATAACAGCAAAACTTCTGTACCCTCTGCTTCTTCAGCTTCCGTATGCAATTGGTTTGAATGCTTAAGAAGCCTTATGGTTTCAAAGTTTTTCACAATGGCTAAACTGAGTATGTGTTAGAATTTTGAGCTCTTTCTCCATTCTTAGTGGATGTGGAAAGTCAGTTAATGATCTGTCACTTTTGAAATAGTCTTTACAAATGTCAAGACTTTCATCCTGTGTCAATGTTCTCAGACTTATACTTCTTAAATTGGAGAGGTCTGATTTGTATGTTTGTGAGGGAGCAGGGGACAGAACACTGTTGTATTTAGCTTGGAAAGGTGAGAGCAGTGAATAGGAGACCACACTGGTCTGTTAGTGAAATACTGAATGTGTTAGGTCTTCAAACTTGCCCTTTCTCAGCTCACTCTTGAGGTCTAAGTGACTTTTTAAGGAGAACCAACTGCTTTCTTCAGGTTTCTTGAAAAGAATTTGGACTTGGCAGGAATGACCTGGTTTTGATTCTTACCTCACTAAACCTTTCTTAGTTTGGAAGGACCGAAGTTATTTAAAAGGAGCTGAAGGAGAAAGGGGATTGTGTAAGGGAAGAAGCTGATGCTGGGGACTTGTGAACACTGTACAGTGTCACTTCTAAAAATCTGGAGAGTAGTAAGTTCAAGGAAGACCTGTTCTTTAGCTTCTGTGAGGGAGAAGCCTGGTAAAAAAAATAGCTACAATTTCACATTTGGAAAGTAAGAAGAGAAAGCCTTTTTATCTGAGTTCTGGTGCTTTAGATCGCTAGGAAGAGAAATGGGCAAAACAAGTTCTTGAAGTGAAAATTAGAGCTTTCATATAGAGCCTCAATTTAAAAATTGTTGGGAGTGGAGAGGTGTTTAATACCGAAAGTAGCTTATTTTGTTGTAAAAATAAAAGCAGTTCCAGCAATTGTCAAGTCAAAAAATAAGTCCTATTGAATAGTTCTAATCACCTGTTGACATACCACAAGAAGTCGTTTTGAGATGACAGTGGTTTTATGTAAAAGTAACACATTGACTGGTCGCTACTATATTATTTAAAGTAGATAAATATGTATGAAAATACGTATTGATTCAAAATTACTTTTGCCTTAACTTGTTTTCTCTATTCTTTCTGTTGCTTTCTTCTAGGTCCTGCTAGCAAGTAGTTTTATACCAGTATATGCAGGGATTAAGCCCGTGGAATATAAAGGAGAGGTAATTTTTCATTAAGTCTAACTACCAACTTTGTTTTTTTAAAATAAGAGTATTCTTCATTTGTGGTGTAATTATTTTATCTTAGTGAAAGGGTAGGTGAGAATTGCAGTATTGTATTTTGTAGAATAGTTATTGTTCCTGTGATACTATAGATAGACACCATGAAAGATGACATGAGTTTGTTCGTATGTTGTTTCAAAAAATGTGGGTGCTGAGACCAAAATCTCTGTAGCATGAAGCTCTTTTCTAAAGTTAGTGTCTAACATTTACATGAGAAGAGACACTTATCAAAACAAGCTGTGTTACCAAAACTAAAATGGTTTTTTTTGCAGTTTAAAGGACCACTGTTCTGCTTTTCAGTTTAGTGGAAGGAATGATAAAGGAGGTTTGGTTAGATTGGACACTGCTGGAGTCCATGTGCATGTTTATGTATGTGTTGTTCTCATGTTCTGTATGCTTACCAGGTAACCTTCAAATCTCTTACCTCTGGACAAACATTAAAGAACAAAGTTTTGTTTGTTTGGGTTTTTTTCCCCCTATAGCACACAGCTATGTAGTTTTCAGATGTGTGCGTTACCATAAGAAAACCTTTTCACAGTTGCCTGTACTTGGCTCAATTTCAAGAGTTTTTTTGTCTTTCTTATATAAATATGTTAACATTTGAAGAAGGATTTTGGCTGTTTAGTCTGTTTGTAGTTACTAGAAGCCTGCAAATAGCCTTTTTTCTGAGAAATGCTGTGGTACTTCATATTGCCTCATACTCAAATTAATGCCTTTAAAATATCTATAATCTTCACAGCTGCTCTGTCAAAAAAATCCCACAAACTGGTATGCATTTGTCTACCAACAGAGAGTTGGAGTTTGTTATGTCAGAAAGCTTGTCAGATTTAGAATTAGGTATACAGCAGTATATCTCGGCTAAGAAGTTTGAAGGTTTTAAATTGGTATTGCCTGACTGCTTGAGTTAAGTAAAAACTGCTTGTACCTTTCCAGGGTCTGGAAGTTTTGTTGATTGGAGTTTTTTATGGTTTTTTGTGCAGCTCAGGGGCATACACAGATGTTTGAGGTTCATTCTGCCGTTACTTAAAGGGAAGGAAATAAATGTCTTGGTTGAAGTACTTCTGGTCTTCTTTCAGTTAAGGTATTGAAAAGTTGGCTCAGAGTTTTGTCCCAAACTTTAAAACCCATTTGAATGCTACTATTGTCATTTGCCTGGGTATTGTAGTAGTTACTGATACATCTTCAGTGGCGTCTTAGTGGGCAGTTCATGTTCCTGCCCAATTTTATGTTTTGCATTCAGAAGTGAAATCAATAAACATTTCACGGAAGCTAGTTTTTCTGTTACTTAAAAGCTTGTCATTCCCAAAGCTTACTACTCTCCTAAAGTGAGATTCAGAATAGGCAGTTTCTGAGAAGAAGGTTGCTTTTATTTATTGTTATTTGTTGGAATGATTAGTTCTGCATGTCTGCACTGGCTTTTCTCATGTTCTGTAAAATGGTGCATTGCATTTTGGGGATTTTTTTTTTTTTTGAGCCTGTGAATGTATGGGACTTCCCATTCTTTAGTTTTAAATACTTAGAGCAGAGTGAGGGCAAAACCACTAGGATCTCTATTGCATCAGTCTTTTCATGGTTTGCAATACTAGATAATGAGGGTACATGGTGGGTATAGGAGCCTTAAAATGTACAGTGTAGAGCCAGATAGATGGCATGTAACCTCATGATCCAGACATGGTAAGCACTGAAGTCAGTCAGATAGACTGGATGTTGACTTGGCTCTGTGAGACCACCTGTTACATTAACATCATATTCCAAGTTTCCTGAAGCTTTACTATAACAGACCTGAGTTCTATCTGCCTGCGTTTACAGTAGTTCCAGCTAGTAAGTTCCTTAGGCTGTATGGTCTGTGGCAGCGTGGACTTGAGTTTACTCTGCTGATTGAGTCTACTGGCCTTGCATACTCTGTAGAGTAGTTGGAGTATGATGCAGTTTTGTTGGAATAGTATCAGAAAATAGCCAGACTTTTTGCTAGCCTGTTCATACAGACTACAGAGAGTAAACCCCAGTGTAAATTGTTCCCAGAATTGTAACTTAGTTTTCTTGCTTTTTGGGAAACATTTGGCTCGCAGTGGAATTAGCTAGCATACCTGTAGTATGCATCCTTGGAGGTGAGGTTTTTTGGGTGAATAAGCTTAATTGCACGGTAGCATATACATAACACCAGTCTGTTCATAGTATGTTTTATTCTGAATTGATGAGCCTAAAAATAATCTGAAGGAAAAAGGAACTATAAAATAACATCTGAGAATTTGTAGTCTGTTAATAGCCTCAACTAGCTTTTTACCTAGATTGTCTATTTACGGTGCCCTTGGACTAGGCTTCCAGTAACAGCAAGGCAAACTTGCTCCATGTGAAATTACCTTTCTTGAAGTTGGTGTCCTCTGAATCTCTGGCAAGGTTAATCTTTAAGACAGATAAAGATCCACAGATGATTGAGTTGACTGTATGTGATAATGATGCTGTAGTTTGTGTCACTGTCATTCTTACAGAACAGCTTTGTAAAAACTATCTGCTGGTAAACAGGTAGACTCTACTAGGTCCAACCTGCATCCTCAATTTCATTGTCAGGTTTGGTTTTCATTACACATTATTTCATAACGTTCTCTGTCCTTGCACTGTACTTATAAATAAGAAACTAATTCAGAAGGTACAAGGATTTTGCCTCATCACCTAAGAAGCATTTGTCAAGAATTGGTTAGTGGAATTGAAAGAATCTGGAGCATTACTTTATTTGCAGCACCCACATTTTATTTTAACTATGTAACATGAGGGACTGTGGAGTCAACACTTTTTTTTATTTTTTTGACTGAGAAGCAGTGTCTTCTAAATGCTTAAAAGAAAATAAAATGACAAGAGGGCATGTCAGTCAAGAATAGCAGCATCTGCAAAAGGCAGTGCTTAATAAAAATCATTGCATTTTGCTTAGTAAGTGTTTTGATTTTTAAATCAATACTGGAGCTACATAAGAGGAGAGGAGAAAAAAAATAATCAGTATTTTTTTCAAGTGGGAGAAGTAGTTTGAAAAGTACTAAGCTAGACTTGTTCAATAAATTAATAATGTAGTCTGTTACGGTGTCTTTGACTTGCTTAGACACTGCTCTTGTCACTGTAGGAATTGCAACAAAAAGCCACTTAGTACCTGAGGAATATTGCCTATAAATCAATACTAAATTACTATTTGTAGGCACAATTTAAAAAAGCCTTGGTGTTAGAAATGTTAAGGTATGTTGCAACTTTACTACAGTTTACTGCATTGTTGTTGCAATAATGGTGTAATGGAGTGTGAAAAGTCTGAAAGTTAAGTTACAATGGTTTTGGATTTTTTTTGTCTCCTTTTTCTAAGGTAAAACAATCTCAATTCTAAGCATTAAAAACTGATTTTTGTGGAAAGTGAAGGAATTCTACAGTGGATTGTGGGGACTGACATCAAGAGCTAATGTTAATGGTAAAGCTCTAAAGCATATTATGAAATAATAGGTTAGAAGGGCCATGGAGACAATTGAATGTGAATGTTTGTAACTTATATTTTAAGCTCAGGAGTGTGAAAAGAAGTGTGAAATGGCAAATTATGTAGAAAGTGAAGAAGAGGGCAAGATGCAGAGCCAAAGAACCTTCTCCTCTCCCCCTCTAAATGGTGCTTGCTATATATTCATGTGTAAAAATACTAAATTAAGTATTGCCAGATGCAGGAGTTGACAGTGGAATGAGGGGCAAGGGACAGGAAGTCTTTAGGTTGCATGAACTCAAATGTGGTATTGGGAGAAAGTTAAAGGGAGATTTATTTCCCTTTAACAGAGTAAAGGACACAGCTGAGAGTGATCTATACAACCAAGTGATGGGCTTCAGAGAATCTCAGAGGCTTCTGAGGAACAGTGTAAACTGACATAATGCTTCCTGTGTAGCAGTCACTGCATTGGACTTTAGTGTGTTGCCAACAGTTGGAAGTAGATGTCTTAAACAGCTTCCCACTAACATAAGTTTTGTGGGAGACTTTTTTCATTTTGTGACTAAATTTCTGTGGCATTTTCAGTAATTCTGTGGGAAAACTTGAAATCAGATGTAAAAGCTTACTTTGGGATAAGGTAAATTCTATATTACAAGTGTTTTCTCTTCCTTAATGAGGAAGGAAGTGTAGAGTGACTAATTTGGCTGTAGATGTGTAAAATTCAGTGAAATGGATCTGGTCACCAGACCTCATTTATGATATCCCTAAATTCCTCTTAGCCAGTAGACTGATACTGAGTTTTGGTTTATGCGTGTGCATGTGTAAAGAAATGTGAACATATAAAATGTATTGGAATGGTGTCACAGGTGTACGTGCTTGCACTGGGATGGAATTTGGCTTATGCCCCTAGGCTACCTTTAGAAGCAAGAAATGTGTGGCTCTGCCAGAAATTATTTGCTTTTGTTTTTTCTTCCTCATTCTTTCCTATACTCCTGTAGCAGACTTGATGTCTCTCAAGTGCCATAGATGTTGAGCCCCTTCCCACCTTTACTCTCCATTTGCCAGCTATTGCTGTCTCATGTCGCATGTGTAGGAAGATAGAGACTCTGGAAGAGGGAGAGAAGTCATACTTGGTTGAGCTTGGGCAGTCAGTTTACCTGCACATACAGATTGTCTAGCTCCTAGCTTAAATCAATGTTTTAGAGTTTACTTTATCTGTTATGGTTCACATGTAATGTTAACAACCTAATATTTTTCATGTATGTGTTAAGAAAAACTCTGTGTGGAGTATTTTGTTATTAGGTCAGCTAACAAGCCTTAGCAATAGCTTGGTAAATTTATTGCACGCATTTATATTATGCCAAACACTCATTGATTAAATGCTCTTTGTGTTCATTGTCAGTTACTTGATATTTATGCCTTATACTCAAGCTTGTTCATGGTATTCTGAGAAGGAAACTTGAAAGGAGGAGGCAGGAAGGATGAAGTATTAATTTATGAACATATAATAAGGTACCTTTTGAAAATATTTGTATTTTTCCATAGAAGTGGGTTGATGGCGGTCTCACCAATGGCCTTCCTATCTTGCCTGTTGGAAGAACTGTTACAGTTTCTCCTTTCAGCGGTCGATTAGACATCTGTCCACAAGATAAAGGACGTGTGGACCTTTATGTTAAATTTGCAAAACAAGACCTAATGGTGAGTTGCTTGTTTATTAAATAACTTTAGAAGAAGGAAAGGTAGCGGAGCAGTGAAGGTTCTGCTTATGTTTACATGTTTATGTTCTGCATATGTATCAAATAATGTTTTAACATTTTCTGTTTGCAAAGGGAGTATAAACATATTCGGAAACACAAGAGAAGGAAAAAATAGAATAAATTTTGTCAGAAGGGTTGAAAAGCATTGATCTAGTACAAAGTTGAGCTAATTATCACAGGCTATTAAATGCAAATAATCTAGGCTTACTTTAAGTATCAGCTATCTTTGGCTAGGTAGAGTGTTTATAGAAAAAAAAAACAACACCAAACTCCTGTAGAACGCTTCAGGAGAGGGAAAATCCAGAATATTCTTCCCCACTTGCTGTAGTTAGCTGCTGTAACTGAATTTAAAATATGAGTTTGTAGTACATTTGAAATGGTATACAGTAACTTGTCACCACATTACTTAAGAGAGCTTGTGTTAAGATTTTGAACAAATCTAACCATGACATTTTTCCAGAAGTTTATTTTTTTAGATGTTACAGAAACATTTCTGTATATTTATATACAGACTAAAACAGATTTTTATGGCCTCCTTTTCATCATTAACATTTGTCTTTGCAAGCTTTGTCTCGCAAACTTTAACCACAGTATCGTGTCCTTTGACATGAAATAAAATATTGAATAGCAATGGCCTTAGTTGTCAGCAAAACTCCACTAGGAAGAAAAAATAAAGCAGTAAACAGAGTTTTTTCTAAAGTTTCTTTAAGCCAGTTCTTAATATTTTCTTATTTTGAGTAATGTAATCCTTAATTGGACCAATTTTTGAATCTTTATAATGCTTCACAGAGAGATTTTAAGGATTATAGTAAATGATCAGGAGATGGTTTAGTTGTTAGGAGTTGTAGGGCAGAGAGTTGGACATGATTATCTTGAAGGTCTTCTCCAGCCTTGATGATTCTGTGATTCTATGATCATAAAGCATCAGGTCATAGATTTCATATGTATTGAAAAAAGTGCAATTGCTTATTGTATATTTCTTGTATGTAGTATCTAGTGTATCTAGAGGAGGAAAAATGAGCTGGTGATTAGTTTAGAGATAGAAAGTTGGTTGTAGTTACTCTTCTTCTAGGGTCCTGCAAGTGCAAACCTCTCTAGAATCTGAGGTGATATTTTAAACTATTCCATTTGCAGAACTCTTAGCTTTTAGAGCTGTAAAAATGTGAACTAAGAACTGCTGGTTTTCAGCAGTTTTATAATCTACATAAAAGTAATGGCTGTATTAATTTAATTAATGAATCTGGCTTGGAATTTATAGTTTTCTGTCTCTGGACCTCTGACATCTATTGTCAGGATTTAAATAATTACTTCAAATAATGAAGATTATTTTGATACTTTTTTATGCATGATTTTTAAAAACAGTATGTGGCTAATGGTAATAATGTAAATAATGTTCAGAATTTAATTAAATCTAATTATGTTTTTTATTTTGTTGTAAACAATTTAATAATGTATTTATTCAAGAATGCAGTTCTGAAATCTTTTTCCACCATCAAAGTGACCTATTGTAGTGCTGCGTAATTCTTAATTTGTTATATTTGCATGTTGAGCTTTGCCTGGGAATGTTCCCAAGAATGCAGTTGTTTGCACTGGTAAGCTGTCAAAATATTTTCTTGCACAAGTTGGTCACCGTGTGCCAGCTGCCACTCTGCCAGACAGTTCTGGGAATATGTGAGAACTTAATGTGTTTCAGAAACTTTGGGCAGTTCTACCAGCAGACAGTCTGTCTTGGAGGCTGAGTTTAATAGTGTACATATAGACCATTTGTGTCAGTTTGTCTTGGTGCTCAGCAGTAACCTGGACATGGTTAACTTACTAGTGTAGAGATAGCCATGCTGGTCTTTTGTTTTAAATATGCTATGTGAAACAGATTACAGAGCAGTCAAGTCTAGGTAAGTTGCTTTTATAAACTAACTTACAGCTCCTTGGTCTATTGCAGCTGTCTCTGGCCAATCTGGTAAGACTTAATCAAGCTTTGTTCCCACCAAGCCAGGAGAAAATGGAATCATTGTACCAAAATGGATTTGATGATACTGTACGTTTTTTACTGAAAGAAAACTGGTTTGAATAGATGGTACATAGAAAATTAATGAAACCTGATGGGATTCAGAACACAGCTACGATCCTACAGAGTCTAAGGGATTGCTGTCCCAATTCCAGATTATGGAGATAAAAACCTCAGTGGAATTTCATCTGGTTCTGATGAGAAAGTATCAGTTGCACTTCAAAGACCTGTATAAACATGTCAATGAGAATTGTACTGGCCTGGTAGTTGTCTGGTTTTGAGGAGGTTCAAGTTTAGATCCGTTTTGCTTGTGCCGAGGACTCAAGTGTGGGATTTGTAAAAAGCTTGTGTTGTCATAATTGCAGAAGTTTGGAGAAGTATATTATTTCAGACAGAAGTCAAGGTTGTACCAGAAGAAATTACAATCTGTATTGTTCCCTTACTGTAATAGTTGTACGTGCTAATTGGATGCTTGCAGTATTGCTGATCTATTTAATATGTATCTTGCACTGTTCTAAAGGACTTGAACACTTAGCACTAGTCACAGGAAATAAAACATTTGCACTCTTTTACTCTGTTTTTAACATTAAAAGTTCCTGCATTTTTCGGTGAATGGGATCTTTAAAAATTTGAAATACTAGTTGAAATTTGTAACAGAAGTGTGATATTTAAACATAAAAATATCTTGTAAAAAGGGTATGAGAAATTGTTATATTTATGTTCTCTTCCTCTGCTAAAATCAAATAAATGTATTTTCTTGAAACTTTTGTCAAGAGCTCATTTTTACATTTCTCAGAGCGCTATTAAAACCTGTTTATTTGCAAAAAAAACCTGCTTATGGAGAGAAGCTGAAGTCAGCCAGCTGGTAGTGAACTCAACCTCATATATCTTACACTTTTACCATTTACTTTACATTGACTACTTTTAAGTGCAAGTTCAGGAATTTCAGTCTCAATGCCTAAATCCTACAATACACAACTGTCTATTTTAGAAGCAAAGTGTTTTTCAACTGTTTGTTTTTTTTAAAGACACCTGTGCCTGGCTCACTAGTATAATTATTTATAGAGTATAACTTTTGGCATGAGTAGAAATAGTACATAATGCTATTAAGGATTCTCTTCTTTCACACTGGTCTGCTGTAGCCTAAGTCTGTGATTGAGTGGCAATACCTGTTCTTGCACCCTGGCGGAAACTTGAAACAGCTCTTCTTTTTTCATGTTCTTGCTTTCTGAGGGTTTGGTGCTACTCACAATCTTTCAGGAACACAGTGTACATCATCTCATCAATCACCTTTCTGATAAATAATGGCACCTTATATATTTAACAAGCTTGTACAAAGCCTTTGTATCTGGATGGAGCTTTTTAAGAGTTGCTTTTAAGGGATAACATTACTAAACGCAAAGTTCATTTTCTGATTATGTATGTTGCTTTTGAGCATCTATGCTGCCATAGTTTGCTATGCTCTTTAATCCATAAAAATCTGCCTTCTTCCAGCATGTGATGTCACCGACAGGAACATACCCAGTATCGTGCTTTCTGAGCCCTAACAACCAAGGTAATGCTGAGTGCTTTAGAAATTGACCTTCATAGGTTTGTAGTAAGATGATGCAAGATCATAATATGGCAGAGATAAGATATAAAAGTGTTCATTCTAATAAAATAGAGGTGAGGGTTTTTTATGTTTGAGCATCAAAGTTGAATGAGGAGAAAAATCTGTTCAGTCGTAACACTAGTGTTCAAAGCAGATAATGCCGCATGCAGAGCAAGACTCAGATTTTTAAGTTACCACTATTTGATAAATGTTTTTGATGGTGTGTGATTTATACAAAGCAGATGGATACAAACCTATTTTCTCAAAGTTTTCCAGTTAGTCCTAATGAAACATAGTAAAGCATTATTTTAAAATGCATTCTTTTCAGCCAACTATGCTTAAATCTTTTGTTTGTGTGAAAAACATTTTCTTTGAAAATAAGAGATATTAGCATATTTGGGAAATACTTGCAAAAGGTAAATCAGGATAGTCACAGTCTGTTTCATGTAAGAAGTTGAGGTTGCTTCTATGCATTCCGATTCTGTGAATACCATCTACTTCATCCTTCCCCCAGCCCTTTCCCTGCTTCACCTTGAAAATGCCAGATGTAAAGTTGAAAAGAAACCAGTTTTTTCCAAGTAGCATTTTTACAGTAGAGATATAACCTTATGTAAAGCTGGCTCTGTTTGTTCCCTGGTTTAAGTCTCTGTAATTGTCTGAATTGGTCATAATTTTTTGTATTTATCTTTGTAAGCTTCAAAGCCTCCTAATTAGGTTTGTGTTTAGGCCTGTGTTTACTGACTCACTATTTAATATTTGAGCCTGGACAGAACTTTCATGTTAAACCTAGTTTTAAGTGCCTTTCCTATGTCTGATAAAAGAACAGTATTTCTTGCTGAAAATTATCTACAAGAGAGGAGATGGTATGGACGTGGGGAAAGTTGTTTCTGGTTTTGCAGCATGTATGTGCCTCTCATTTGCTACACAAATGAAGGGTAACCAATGAACACTGGCAAAGGTGGCTTCTAGGTTAGGAAGGCTAATTATGCACCCTTTAGTTAGGTCAGTCTGTTCCATGTGAAAGGATCTGATCCCTTTTAGATAGTCTACTACTTACCTTCATCTGAATTAGTGCTAATCCTACCCATACCCCATCCCAGCTTTCCTAGTTTTTATTGTGAATCTCAATGTATAGCCTTACTGGGAAATGATACTTGTGTGTTTCTGTTGGTTAAATATTTTCTATTTAAAAAAGAAACAGAAATCTTTATGATCCTTGACTTTGTTTTCTTTTAACAGTTGTCATATTCTTTAAGGAGTGAATATTAGCCTTTATAAATGGAGAAAGGTCAAGGGATTTTTATGACTTTGCAAGTGCTTCAGTTTGGCATGAATTTTTTCTGGCTAAATTAGGGTAATAGCTGGAGTTTCCTATTACAGCATCGTAAGTCAGTTCTACTGAAACGGGTTCCTAGCCACTTTGTTTCTTGCAAAAGCTTAAGGTAATTCGGAGTCCTCTTCCAAAAAGTGCCAAATATGTGTAGTTGAAAATCACTTGGCGATCTCTTGTCAAAACAAACCTCAAGGAAATGTATGGATTTGTAATTTTATTAATACTTCTTTAATAGTTTCTGTTGTTTCTCTTTTATTGGTGTTTTAGGTGTAGTTCTTGTGTGGCTGAAAGCAAACCATAAGCCAGCAATGTGCCTCCATGGCCAAGGTGGCCAACAGCATCCTGCCCTGCATGAGGCAGGGCGTGGTGAGCAGTTCAAAGGTGGCAACCCTTCCTCTCTACTCAGCAGTGACTAGACTACATCTTGAGTACTGGGTCCAGTTCTGGGTCCCCCAGTATGATCACATTAAGGACTTACTGGAGGAAGTCCACTGCAGACTCACAAAGATGATTAAAGACTGGAGCATCTGATGTATGAGAGGCTGAGAGAACTGGGATTGTGTAGCCTGGAGAAGTTAAGGCTCAGGAGGATCTCAGAAATTTGTATAAATACCTAATGGTTCTTTTCAGAGATGCACAATGACAGGACAAGAGGCACAACCTGAAATACAGGAGGGTATATGTGAACATCAGGAAACACTTTACTGTTAGGGTGACTGAACACTGGGACAGGTTGCCCAGAGAGGTTGTGGAGTCTTCTTCCCTGTAGATACTCAGAAGCCTTGTGGACATGGTCCTGTACAACCAGCTCGATCTTACCCTGTTTGAGTAGGTGTCAGAATACATGATCTCCAGAAGTCCCCTATAACCAATGCTTCTGTAATTCTATAGAATCAGCATTTCATATAAATGGTAACATTCCTAACACTACAATGTGCACTTTAAAAAAAGTTTAAATAGAAGAGTGCTATTTCACATGTCTAATATTAAGAACAGTTTGTGTTCTAAACTCATTCTGAATTCAGTCCTGATGTTTTGTACTGTGCTAAGCTGTCAGAAAAATCCATGACCTTGCTGACAGCAACATAACAAATATCTTTTTACTGTCCTTGTGCAGTTGGTGTTAGATAATGGAACATATTACCTATTACTTGTTTTCAGTCCTGCAGTAGTTTCTGAATATTTAACCTTTTGGACTGGGAGTTTATGTCCAGCTTCCTCAGAAACACTATATAGAAAATAGTTCAACTGTTTCTGAGAAGCATGTGAAAAAGGGCAGAAAACACTGACCTTCATTTGAAGGGCCATTGATCTGAAGTGGAGGCAGTGTTTTAAAGCAGAAAGAAAACAGCGCCTTTCAGATATAGGAGTTACCTGAATGAGATGCTATTTAAATGCACTCTCTAGTTATGTTTGCTAGGTTAGGTGTGAATTCTTGTTATTTTTGCCAAAATGCCAGAGCTGGAGGGTTTTACTGAGTGCATTGATCTTTGTGCTTCTTGAACTTGAAAGTGACTTTGGTTCAGTCACTGCTGCCTTCAGTTCTTCTCTTCACAGAACTGTATCTTTGTCTTAGATGGACTTTGCACCTTGCATTTTAAACTATGGACTAGTTATTCTCTCTCCTCTAAAGCTTCATGTTAAATGTATAAATATTGCCTGTATTTAACCCCTTATAATATTTAACCCAATCTATAATTTTAACTTTAAAATGAAGAGTTAGACTATAGGCAACAAGGATTTTTTTTTTTAAAAGGTTCTTAAAATAGGGAATTCAAAGTGACTTCTCCAAAAAGAGTTTCTCTGGAAAAGAAATTAGTTACGTGTTTACATCCACAATTAGAGTTTCATTTAGTGACCGGAAACCAAGTATGCAAGTATATAAACTGAGCATATATGACTGCAAATGTATTGGGTTCCTAGTTTAGACAGAAGAGGAGGGAAGACCATTGTTTAATTCCCACTGTCAAAATAGAAAAAAAAAAAATTTAAAAAATTGTGATTTTTAGTGCTTGAGCACAGTCTGTTTGTTCCTCTGAAAGTCCAAGTTCACTTTTTCTAAGTGTATTAGCACTTTCCCCAAAAGGAATCAAATGCTCAGATCAATTTCTTAAATTAAAATAATTTTATCTTGTGTCTTTA